GTTTATTATGAATCAATCCTATATAAGCACCTATTTTTAGGTGGAAATCCTGGTATGAATAATAATCACATTGTTAGGGGAACCTCCCCTTCGGTCCGCCAATTCCGATTCCAATCCGATTCTGACTCCAGTAATCACATCACCGCCTCCATCAGGCACATCACTGCCCTTCCCTGGAGATTCCCCTGGGACCTGGCCTGTATGACATGGCACAGGCATACTGCTCAGAGCAATGATCACACTTGGTGTGTTAAGAGTGTAGTATATAGTTCAGCTACCTAGCAGGCAGACCCTTAGGGTTTCTTCTCTTTGGATCCTCCCTGCTAGGTCAGCTTCCTTTGTATTTGCCTACCACTATTCACTCTTTGGATGGTACCACAAATAATTTCAAAACTACCTATGGATGCATCCATGCATGGTATCAAGCCTAGCGATGGATGCATCCATGGCCCCATCTGCCTGGCACCATGGATGCATCCAAATCAAACATGCCGGTCGGCTTGATGCCATCAGTGATAGCCGATCGGCTCCCAGTGCCCAATACCCTGCAAAGTCCAAGGGGTAGGAGCATGGCCAACTGGGTGGGGGGGCATGTAGTCCATACTCCACACATACTGTACATCACTTTCCATGTACTTTAGGCTGCCCACTGCCCATCTATCATGCCTGAACTGCCAACTAATCAAAAGCCAGAAAAATGAAAAAAATATTCAAAACTCCATAGTCTGCCCAGCAAATCTCATGAGACTTGGCCTGTTTTGAAGAGCAAAAACATCTCATTTTCTAGTGCTAAGCCGACAACCCAAAAGCCAAGGCAAAAATTATTGCAAGGGTATTTTTCCCAAAATATGCAAAAGCCATCCTCCAGTCAAACCAGCAACTTCCCCATCACTAGGTGATTGGATCAAAGAGCCCAGGAGGAGACCTACCGGCTGCACCAAAGCGCTTATTTTTTGAGCCAGTTTTGAGCGAGCTACAAGCCATTCACCCCGCCACCCAAATCAGGCAAAGCACCATGGTACCATCCACACGGCCATAGATGCACCCAAGGCTGCATGGATGGCACCATGGTCATGGGTTGTGTGACACCCATGGTACCATCCACAATTTGTGGATAGTACCACCCCCATGGGTGATACCATGGATTTGGTACCTCTTAGGCCCAGGGTTCCGTGGGTTCGATTAAGCCTAAGAGGTACCAGGTAGGGGTAGCCTGAGGTGTCAATGTGTGGGTTCGAATTGCACTCTCGTCACCAAGATGGAGACGTGCGGGCGGACTGGTCACACGCGAATCGGACGTGGAAGTAACTGGGAAAGAGGTCTTTCCGCCTCCAGGCGTTACATCTGCCTGTCAGTATCTACATAATCTAATCTCTTCTTCAGCCCCACTCCATCGGCAGTTACGGACAACCAGTATATAGTTGCAGGTGGACCCTTAGTGTCAGGGGAGCCTCCCATTCAGCCCCTCGGAGACAATTCCGATTCCAGCCAACTCTGGCTCCGACTCCGGTCTGGCCCTCCATCTCGCCCGCACAATCACTGATCTGTCAATGCCCTCCCGACGGTCGCCCTGGGACCTCACCTGCAATGCCACCCAGGCCTTCTGTGCCTGACAGCGGCAGCTACGGACAAGCAGTATATAGTCAGCTACCTAGCAGGCAGACCCTTAGAGTTTCTTTCTTTGGATCCTCCCCTGCTAGGACCTTGATCTCAGGCCTCCAGGGTTGCTCTTACAGTTGTATAGAAATCTTGTCCAGACAGGATATAAAGTATTTTCCAGAAGTGCCTAGAATTATTATACATTTAACAACCACAAGAAAGACCACATACTTGGAGATAGTAGTATGAGAGTGCTGAAAACGCTCTGCAACATGATCAATAGCCAAACCAGTGACACAGATGTAGAGGAAGATAGCCAAAGACTTGTCAAGCAGAATCAGTGATTGTTGAAGCTGGATCCATGGGTGTGATCTTCCCTTATCTACTGCCTCCTCGATCAATGTTTCTGATTACCTGCTTATATACCATGTATTGATAACTGACATAATCAAGTGTTTCTTTCTTTCATCCTCCAGCCAGCCAGCCTGTTTCTACAGTGATTGTTCTGATTCCAAGTAGCCCATAGCACAAATCTGGACAAAAAGTGCTAGGAAAACATGTCTCCACATACCCAGGGCAATGTAGATCCGGTCTGGATGCTTGCTAGTTAATAGCTCATTGAGCCATGCTCGCCCAGTAAGTGTTGAATCATGTAAGTTTGTTTTGTTGTACTGGGGTTCAATATAGAGAGCAACTCCAAGTATGATATACTGCAGCAGTGGCATTACCATACAGGCAGCCCATCTAGCCTGTGCAGCTGGAGCTCTAGGTTGTGTAGGCATAGGGAGATAGTGGAAGATGTGTAAGTTACACAGAAAGTCACGGGCCATCAATTACATTACATTACAGCGACATCCAGAGTGGCTCTAAGTGGATAGAGACTTGAGTTTCACTGCTATTGGTGGGTTATTACATCTAGTTCAACAATATCTTAAGTATTTATCTTAAGGTATCCTAAGATTTTTTTCACATACTAAAAAGAGGGGTTTATATCTAAAGTCAAGTTAACCCCAGAAAAATAACAATAAGGTATCTGAAAAATGAGATATATTGAATCAAATTGCATTGAATATTGTAATTATGTAATATATATGAATGTTATGTGTCACACCTATGTTATTATGAAAATTGTTTTAACCTGTCATACATATTTTTTAGTATTTTTTCAATTGGTCTGTCATCTCTGTGCCCAGAGTTTCAAAATAAGGAAATAGTTCAAATTCCTATTTGGTATATGAGGTCATGCTAAAATTGCCATTCAAATTAAGTAAAATACTATATTTACTGGTTAGCTATGCTGGCTGACAAATAAATTGTTATTGATAAAAGACTTGACTGACTATTTGTTATGTTATGACTATACTATATTAATGTCACAGAATATTCAAATATAGTAAGATGGATGATCACAGTTATCTTCACAGTCTATGTACTGACTATTAGAATTGTACTAATCTTAGTCTGATGTAGCTGTCAGGAGAACCTTCCTTTTGCCCCCCAGAGACATCTCCAGTCTGTTGTCAGGGGAACCCCCAACCCACCTTGGCATCTGTCCATCGCATCTTGGCATCAGACACCTGTCCATCAATTACCTACATGATGCCCAAGATGGTCGTTTTGTCCACCGATAGGAATCAATGTAGGTAATGCATCAGAATCTGCAAGAAGATCCTCCTGGGACCTAGCATGCGATATGGCTCGGGCATATCATGGAGCAACGATCATTCTTGGCGCATCAAGAGCGCGGTATATAGTTGGCTACCTGGCAGGTGGACCCTCAGAGTTTCTTCTCTTTGGATCCTCCCCTGCCAGACCTTGATCTCAGGCCTCCGGGGTTGCTCTTACATCTGTCTCCAACTCTGGTGAGTGCATCCCTGCTTCCATCAAGTATATCACTACCTGCCCTGGAGACCCCCCCCCTGAAACCTAGTGCACAACATGGCACTGGTTATATTGGCTCACTTGATTTATAAACCCCAAAACCGGTTTATAAACAGGGTTTCGGTGGCTATCTTTATCAAACTGCTTGATAACTCTCAAAATTTTTAAAAACCCACTTGAAGCTCTACTAGTAAAACTTTATTTCAGCATAAGAGCTTATTAGCAGCCTCAGATTTAACAAAAAATAGCGTGTAGATCTAAAGGAAATCCAAGTGTTTCATTGCTCCACTAGGAAAATTTGGAAAGAAAATGCGCCGCAGGGTGGCCGGCCGTAGAGCGGTAACGTGATGTTGACAGAGGCCAATGCTCTCCTGTTAATTCCCTCATGCCTTCCGTCTGACGGAGTCTGCTATGTCACATGCCTCTGGGCAACGCATGCTGCTGGGGAGAGACAAAAGCTGTCGAGTGATTCAGCAGCATCACCGGCGTCAGCGCCCGGTCGCCCCATATTCGGATGACAGGAGCGGGCCGAGCGGCTGATAGCAAAACTCTCAAGAAAATCCGCTCCACCCCTCAAATTTTTGGAAGGAATATAGAAGGGAAATAGAAAGAAAAAAAAACATGTTTTTTTCCAGCAGCTAATAAGCTCTATAGCACATTTGGGGGTCATCCCTCCATATTAGAAAGTGCAGCTGTAAAATGGAATTAGTAGGTGAGATACTATTTTCCTCAATTTGAATAGCATTTTTTGGTGTGACAGACAAGGGGGGTTCAAGATCCTTATCAGGCACATGGGGTAGGGGGGAGGGGGGGGGGTCCCCAGGGGGTAAAAAAAACTTTTTATATATAAAAGATTTGGGCCTTATATGGGTGTAAAGACACTGAAAATATAGTGCATACACTCTCATTTCTATAGTTCACAACCCCCATACTTATATCTATATACTTTCGGGCCCATGAGCCTGGATAGCACACCCTATCACAGGCCCATCATCAGGTAATGGATGAGAGGTGAACATATTGAACAGTGATATGGCCTGCCATGTGTATTTAAGGGTTCCAGGTATATAGATACCTACACACATACATATACAAATACATAAATTTTTTTGAAAAAAAAAAAGTTTCACAAAGATTAAATTTTTATGCCAATTTTTGATCGCATCAGTGGTCACATGATGCTAATCGTGGGAACATATTACCCTATATGGCAGGAGGGGGGGAGGGGGGGTCCCCGGAGGGTCGGAAAAAAACTTTCCGACCCTATATCCGTGATTCGGATCTTGAACCCCCCTTGGTGACAGAGTCAAATACTATATCCATATACGGAATAGATTTTATAAACTGACACCTAAGACTATGTAGCTGGTGACATCCGCAGTCGGTGGCGCATAATATACCCTACTAGTAATCGTTACTTGAGCAATATACATAATAATGCATTATATGATAAATTATAACTAAGTATAATGTCCGTCTGTCCAACGCAAGTCCAACGACTACCAAAGGAAAAAAGGAATCTAGAACGCCTGAGGGCCATCTTTTTTTGTATCGAACCTGATCGTGTACTGAGACTTGCTGGGCACATGCAGCGGGTGCGGCATCGACCCGTCGTCCGAGTCTTGCTGTCTCGTCGATTCGGCCATCTTCAACGGGGACGGTGATGGCCCTCGCTCGCTGGACTGCTCCGAGGCACGCGGATCATACGCGGGAGGAGGTAGATGGGGTATGTCGCCGCGCACCGATAAGGACAGCGGCCTGCCGCCGCTCGCTCGCCAGCTCGCAGCGCTCGCTATCGCAGCCTCCCGTCTTAGGTTCTCGAGGTCCTTCTGGGCGGCGACTTTGTCGTACGATGGTGTGCGTAGATAGCTTCGCAGACAGCAGAAGGTGGCGCACAGGACAGTTATGCCCACGATTGAGACGACGACGATGATGGTCACTCCGTAGCGTCCTCCTGGGAGAGACGAGTGCGGATGGCCATGCTCTTCCTTCGTTGGCGCTGAACGTGCAATCCTGTCGATAGAAGGAAGTCCATCAGTGTGCCTGATTCGACTCCGATACTTGGGCCGACGCACCCAAACAATGTAGACGCCGCTAATAAAACCAGTCGTAACAATCCCGGCATGGCGAGGGAAGAGCGCAAGAGAGTCTGAGAGGGAGCGATTAGGAAGGGGGAGGCGAAAGACGCGGGGACCGCTTAAATACGGGTAGCACCCACCGCATGAGCCTAGCTTTGGCGGTAGGGTCCATAAATTCAAATCCGTGGTTGTCACGTCAGGTGATGTTGTCACAGATGGCCGAGACTGCGATCAGAACTTTCGGGGGACGGATCGCAATGTAGAGGAGCTCCCGAAAACTCAGTCCCTTACCCTGGGTGATCCGGCGGAGACTTGATTGGAGCATAGCCACGCCTGGATGTGGACGCTGTGCTTCGAAACCGGTTTCGAAGATGAGATTTGCGCCAGGCACCCTAAATGCCAAGAAGATGCATAACTTCGCTGCGAAGAACAGCCAACAGGTCAACATGTTCCAGGATAGGGACGCGGAAAAATGCTGCCATATATCGAATCCCGTCAAGGGTCAAGTGTGCCTTGACGACCCAATGGCGATTCCGTCAACGTGGGTGACATTGCGCCTCCAATCCGATGCTCCAATGATCTCAACGCGGCCTTGGTCCGTCTTTCCATTAGACACTCCCTTACTGTAGACAAGGTATAAACCGAATAGATAATTCTCCGCGGGCTGCGCAGACCAACACTCGTGGGCCAAGATCCCTTCCTTCTTTCATATTGTCGTTCATTCGTTAATCCCGCACCGGGGTGGGCACGACGATCGCGATCGTCTTCGTTACGACGACGGTAATGCGCTCACTGGGATGCCATGGCATTAGGCGGCAGGATCTCAAACAGACAGGGGACACCACTCACGTTACAGTGGTGGTCTTGGTCTCTTCGGTCTTGGCAGCGCCGCCTTTATTGAAGACCTCGAGGTTCTGTGGCAGACCGTCGGGACAGGTGCTTGCGCCGGAGGAGAATGAACCGTCCTGTTCAGTCATTCAGTTATAGGATAGAGGAAGCAGCTACTCATGATTACGCACCGCAGCGAAGTACTGGCATTGTTTTGCATCCTCGTACGTGCACGACGAGAATTGGCCTTCGTCAGCGACGCCGGACGCGAGGAGAGGCGACCCATTGTCATCCTTGTCGGGGCAGTTGACGGTAGGATCCAATGCCCGGCGCAGTGGTGCCACCCGCCGGATGGGGACAGTGTTAGCGAGGGTAAGGCACAGCGCAAGCGTGAAAGCGGTGGTGAAGTAACGCATGGGAAGTGATTGTGGAGGGTTTAAACGAGGGCAGGCGGTTCGGTGGTGTCGGAAGTACAGTGGGGGGGGGTATGTGTGTCACAGGGAAAGAACGGCAATGTGGAGAGCGGAAACAGGCGTCCAACCGGTGGAGGGCGTCTAGCGCGAGGCCTGCGTTGAGGGTCAAGGTGAAGGGCGGAGGAAGAGAAGAGTGGGAAAACAGAGACCTGACAAGGGCGAAGAAGAAGAAGGGGAAAAGGCCTCAGTGCCAAGCCAAAGGTCATTCGACCGGTTAAGTATCAAGTCTCATTTTGATCCGCATGTGAGAAACGTATGGTCATCAAGTGATGCGCACCAGTCCGGCAGAGAGCGCCGCCACGCAATGCCGCAGTGATTCTGCTAGAAGGTGGACTACAGCTCAAAAGCATTCGTGAGCTCCAATGTCTTACCTTCTTTGCTTTAAAGCTTCGTCCCCCCCAAAATAGTTCGCTCAGAGTCAAAAGGCACAAGACACATCAGAGATCGGCGACAACCAACTGTCAGAGCCAGTCGAATTGATTGTGCTCATCGTCGCCGCCGCGCCCATCAACACGTAAGCCTAATGAGGACGAGCTCCGACTAGACTTGCTTTGCTTCGATATCTGGTTATAAATCACAGTTCTAGACACAATCCGTGTGGAGGCCGTAGAAACGGCAGCATGACTCGCGAGCAACTGGCAAGTCTTCATCCAGAACGCGATGCCTGGCGACTCAACTCCTTATACAAGACGTCCGCAGCACCGTCAACGTGTCCCTGTCCCCGACGTTCTTTTTGGAAGTGGTTGGATATTAGAAAGGCGACATCTGTGGCAGGATTCAGCAGGAGAAACTAGAATCGCACTGCACCTTACCGAGACTTTGCTCAAAATTCAGCCGTGGGTCGCAGAAACTCTGGTATCGCAGGCCGAGCTCGTCTTCGCTCAGTTCCATGCTCCCGCCAAGACACTCGGTCACGCTGAAGCCATCCTCGGCAAGCTCGCCTGTGAACTCGAGCGAGACGCCGCCGAGTCTAGAGTTGCACTCGGCGTGGATCCGCAAGGAGGCCGTCAGCTCCGCGATGATAGTGCCAAAGTTACGGGTCTTCAACCCCGTGGAGGAAGTCAGAGTGCTAGCAAGCACTTGAGCAACAATGATGAGAAGGATATAACAAGCATACTTTCCGTGCATTGGATCGCAAATCCAAACAACAGGATGGTTCGTTTTTTGAACGGCTTGGATGTGGCCGGCAAGGTGATCTTGGACCTGATGGCGAGTCAGGCTGTGAAGGTGAGAGAGCAGAGCGACCGCACCTTCCCCGCGCCATAACGCGTAATGAGAGTAACTCTCCCCGCTTCTTTGTCGGGGTTTACCACTATGCAGACTGGATTAATTTTGACTTCAAAGACAACGACAAACACACCATCCAATAGCCTGACTAACTCGTCGCCCTGCATACTCGGACCCACTTTGATTCCTATCGGATTCCTAATGCCCCGGAAGTACTCGACATGCGCTCCAGTAAGTTGTCGAGTACGATCACCTATCCACAGGAAATGCGCAGAGGTATTGTAATGCGCTGTTGGCGAACTATGGGCCATCGTCACGCCGGCTGGGACCGGCAGAAGACGAGTAAGAGCCTGCTCGTATTCGAGCATTAAGCCCTCGTGACTGTGATACATCAAGCGTCTTCACACGAAGGCTGAAAGAGCTTGCCTTGTGTAGAAGTCAACTTCCCCCACCGTGCCCCTCGCTCCGCCCTGCTCGAAAACAGGGCCATTCTCGACTCCAATGGTGCGACTGAAGTCTAATGCGTCCGACAAGCTATCTACAATTTGCTCGAATTCCTTGCTGTGGCGAAGGAGTCATTGCTTGGGTCAAAATAGCGAAGAGGAATCTGATACCGCAGAGATGGTGAGCGAACATGGCTCAAAGACCAATCGCGTGGGTGGTGAAGTGACGCAAATCCAGAAGTAAGCAGTCCGCGAACATAATTGAGCGTCGTGGTCGAATGGAAATATGCACTACGTGACGTTCATTCGGACGGACATATACTCCAAACTCAACAAACGAACCTCAAAAGCCGCTCTGGATTGGGGTTGCGGTCATTAGGATCGAGACTGAGGAAAGGTTAGCAGAGTAGATAGACCAAAGGAAGGCACCTTGCCCGTTGACGTTGTCTCCTCTATCTAATCGTCAGCAATCACCATCGCACATGAACCAAAACTGCTTACCGAAAGCTAAGGACAACCTTTCCGTCAATAGTCTCCTTTGGACTACTACGCGGCTTTGCATATTGACCTGCGATTCGACCGATTCGCACCTGCGAGCATGAATTTATAAAATAATCGAGAAGATAACGGTAAATAAGCTTACAACAGGCCGCCGTGCGCCCCATATGAGGATCAAAGAGAATGAGAGTATAAGGCCAATCTTAGCCGATATATTTTCCTGTCATTGAATGAGTAATTTCCGAAAGGAACGAAATCGTCGGGCATACGTGTGTGCAAGCATCAAAGCTTTCTGCACCTGGATATCGTAAACGCACCGCCCATATGACATGAGTAGTAGCTCACAGTCCCCTGCATGCAGCAGGAATGCCTCGTTACGCTGCACCATAGCTAACTGGTGCCTCAAACGCTCGATCTTCGTGGAGACGATCAATTCACGAAACTAGATTCGGAAATTGCAATCGCACTTCAGACGGCGTTACCAATGGCGGCAACCGCTCGATCTTGGAGAGAACCCTTCATGTCCTGGTCAGTGCATAAGCCAATGGATACTGGGTTGGACACATACTTGGTCAGATGCGCGGTGTCCTCGTACTCCACATCCTACAGAAGTCACCGTTTAGACAGCAAAACTAAAGGTGCGGCGCGAGTGCAGTACCTGGGCGATTGGTTTCGATTTCCATGAGGATGGCGACCAAGGTTCGGTCGGGGACATGGTGAGCAAGGAGAAAGTGAGGAAAATGTCAAATTGTGACGTGGCGGAAAATGACTCATCCGAGTCGCATCACCGTCCGGTCCGAAGGCCCGCGTGATTAGGTGGTCTTTCTCTCGGCTGTAGAGAGCTTGGTAGAGAGTGCGTTTCAGAAGGAAGGACCGTCACGGACGACGGTCCAGTGGCCATGACCTTTGCGTGCCTTCTGTCCTTGCATTCTCTGGTAACTGTCGCTGAGCATTGAGCAGCTTGGCGTCGGAGGACATAACGATGGCATGTCCAAGTAGGTAGGTAATAGTCGATCCATATGTGTAAACCAGACCTCGAAAAGCAGAGGTTCCTGTATCTAATGCAGCCCGGGCTGGCTCGCTAATGCCCACAATGCATCCCATAACTCCGCCCTCCGCTGTTGTGCAAACACCCATTATTCTTCCTGTGCAATGACTCTGAGCCGAGCGAGTTTTCGATTCCCCCATTTTAGAGCGCAACGCAGCCTCAAAACCCTATACCACCTGGCGGGTCGAAAGAAAACATCATTTGCCCATTCCCCCCAAAGTATCAGGCAGAACCGTGTTTGCAGTTCTGTTGGGAATAAAATGTATAAGCCAGTCAGCGTCGAAAGGATGGGCAAGGTAGCTGGCGGACCTGATGGGATGTTTCCTTAGGGTCCCTTTCCACCCCCACAAGGCCACCAGAGCCACGCCCAACAAACAGACAAGGCTGACAACGACGGAGATGATGACCCAGTGGGTCACTTGCGATAGTTGGCTAAGAGAAGGGGGAGCGACGGGCGTGGCGGGGGCTTCGGAGAACAGCGACGCTACGAAGGAAGATTTTGAATACACGATAGTAGATAGAATAACACGCACACTTTTCGAGGAATGACGAGGGCATCAGGACCAACAGCATGAGACTATTGTTATAAGGAACCCTAAGGCAATGCCTGGGCGACCCCCGCCTTCCAATATGTACTATTGATAGTACTTCGATCCGGCCCAAGATGTAGATAAAGGCGGTGGAAACAACTGGAGGGCTTATCAGTCGAGAAGGAGAACAAAAGTGAAGAGAAAGTGCAACACAAGTCCGAGCCTTGCTGCTTGAGCGGGGAAGAACGACATGGAACAGAACGGAGCAGAGTTGGGAGGAAGAATGAACAGAAATTTTTACTCACTCGGAGCTTTTGGACAACTCATAAATGGACAATTCCTATTCCGATTGGGAAGACTGGGAAGATGTAGCAATCGAGACTGAAATGTGGCCGAATGTACTTCAAAGACCGGGATTCCATGATAGTCGTGTCGTTTATTCCTCTATGCGTGCATTATGGGTAGCGATATGGTAGTGAGATACTCGAGCGACCAGCTGAAGATTGGGTTATCAAACACATTGCGATGGAGAGAACCAGTATAACGCACGGAATCCAACACGCTCTTTAACCCTGCCCCAGTCAAGGCAGACGTAGCCAGCAGTGGCACCTCCCCGCCACAACGCAGTTTCGTCAGTCCTTCAATGTCCATCGCTGCGGCTACGTCCTTCAAGCTGGGAGTGCCAGCGACATCGATTTTGTTCACCAGCACAAATAGCGGGAAGTCGGGGTCGGCACAGGTCCAGGTTTTGGGAGAGGTGCATAGCCCATGGAGTGTTTCTTTGGCCTTGTCCAAAGAGGAAGCGGGAGCGGTGGATGTAGCGTCGACGATGAAAAGAAATGCATGCGCGTGAGGAAAAGCTGAGGACGAAATCCAAAGTCAGCGCAAGAATGGTCGGTAACGAGCGGTATAACACACACAACGGCCACAGGTTGCGCATCCTCTCATGTCCACTCGGGTTCCAGAAGTGGATGCGATGAGAACCATACGACACGTCGACTCTGTCGAGTGCTGCCCAGTTGGTCAGCAGACGCAAGAGGACATGGGTTTTGACATACCTAGAGTAGGGCTGGTTGGTGGAAGCTCAGGCTGCTCGTCTGTTGGGACTAGAAGACGGCTGAGTAGACTAGTGCAGCCTGCACCTTCGAGTCCGAGCATAACCACCGCTATTCAATGTTGTAAGTTAGTATGTGAAGACCTTGAAGGCGTAGTACTCAATGACATACTGAATATCTTTGGGGCGTTGGGCAGTAGCAGGTCGGTCGCCACAGCATCGGCGGATGAGAATGCGGCGCCCATTCCCGTTGCGCGCCGGAAGAAGCTGGGGAGATGGTGGCAGTAGAAGTCAAGAGCAGTTGATCACGGAATGGGAGATGATGACCACAACTTGAAGCTCGCTTGAAACTTTCACCAACTGCTTCAAACCCAGACGATGCCTGTATTCACGCATACCGTCTCAACCTCTGATCTATTACCGTCGCCTCTCGCAGATAGCAGCCACCAGCGAGAAGCTCTTGCACGCATAGAAAACGAGATCGTTCTTCTAAGCCAACACTTCGACAAGGTGCAGGCAATCCTTGCCGAGTTGAAGAAGGAGGCTGCTGCGAGGCTGGCCCGCGTCATTTACCCAGTCCTGACTCTACCGGTCGAACTCACCGTCGCGATATTTCTTCGATGTCTCCCGCACTGGCCACGACAACGATACACCGTGCCGTTAATCAACTGGGCCCCGCTCGTTCTAACTCGGGTGTGCCACGCATGGAGGGACATTGCAATAAACACGCCTGAGCTCTGGAGGTCTATTTTCATCCAGCTTGCTGCTAATACCGAGCTGACGGATGCCGAATCTGCTTCGAAGAAAAAACTTGGCCTTCAACAATGGGTTGCGCGGGCAAAGTCGGTTAGTATCGCGGTCCAGCTGCAGGTATGGGCTCTTCACCTTATCAATATGTTCTACCAATCTCACAGCTGCACCACAGCAAATTTCACACGATACAACCATAATACTCCCCGAATTCATGATGAACCCTGCGCAGAACATCAAGTCGCTGTGTATCGACTTCTTCCCCGAGGGTATCGAAGCGGTGTCTCAGATTCCTCGCACGATTCTCTCCCAAGTACACCATCTGGACGTCTATCTCGCAGACTTTGTCCGCTCACCAAACATTCCTCTGGCCCGCCTTTCTGTCCTGCACATTACGAATAGCCTCCCATTTCCGGAAATCGTTGGGGTCATGAGAGAGTGTCATGAGCTCACCGAACTTCGTGCTAATTGCACAGCGAGGCGTCATTGTTCGAATAACTCCCATGATCCTCCCAGCCAGGACTTGTACGATCTTCATGTTCCCACTCTGCGGGTTCTGGATCTTATGGTCGACCATCAAATTAGTGAAGAACAACTGCTGTTTGGCTCGCTGACACTCCCGAATCTGGTTTCCCTTTCCCTGGATACTGCGTACAGCACGCATACGACCTGGGACTTGCAACTTTGTAGCTTGACACAAAGGGCTCCTCGCATCCGGCACCTCAACTACAGTTTTACTGATCGTGATTCCACAATCCAAGTCCTGAAACTCCTTCCCGATCTCGTGTTTCTTGGGGCGGTCTTCAGGAACTCCGGCCACAAGCACGTCGAGCCATTTCTCGGCTTGCTGGGACGCTCTGCTGAGCTAGATGTTCCAAATATGCTCCCCAATCTCCGTGCCTTGCGTATCCAGCTTGAGGGCTCCATTTCACGCCGTAGCTATCTTCCATGTGGCCTCGCGGAAGTCATCGACATGTGGGGGATCCTGGACATTTTAGCCGCCCGGCGCCAGCGACCCCCAGTGCACCATACAAGCACATTGCGGTCATTGCGGGTTGCGGTATCGCAGGTCTCCCCTCCCGATGCTCTCAACCCGCTGCAACCAATTCCCCTTTCGCTGTCCACTGCACTCGACGAATATATGTCACATGGACTGGACTTTGCGATATTCCACAGCGATTCAGACCTCGTTTGGCCACCACATGCATATGGTGCATTCTTTCTCTTTCACCTAATGTACAACTTTCTGACCAACGATGCCGTAGCCGATAGGCTTGAAGATTGGGTTATATGGTGACAATGTGCCCAACGACGTAAATTGACATCATTCATGTATAGCCTACAGTGTCTCATTTTGTTTAACAGATTGTCTCTCATGTTACAGAAAGTATGCAGTTTCAATAGTGGAGTCGGAAGTCGTCAGACTTCAGTGCCGCCACCCTCATCTCTTAATTTAAACCTTGCCGTGAGCTCGTCAGTGGCGTGGCCCCGGTGCTGGCTTCTCCGGCTGGAAGCCTATCTCCAAGAGGGCTGTCATTGAAGAAGGCCGGTGAAGTCGTCCACGCTATCCGACTCGATCGTCCATTGCGGCCCTATCAACCGGACAGACGGCGCGCATGACGGAACTGGGGTGGCGGTTATCGAATTCACAAATACTAGTAAAGCATCCGAAAGAAATTCCCAGACTCTCCGTGCGACATGCGAGTAGCGACGCCCCGCCGCGCCACCGGCCGCCACTGGCCTTGGAACCACCTTTTACTGTTCGCGAGGTGACTGTCTCCGGTGTAGCTCTGGCGCCGGCGCCGCTTCCACGTCGGTTGCGCATGTCGATATCTGGATGCTCGAGTGAACTATATCTAATAGTAACATGCAGCGTATCGGCTTGTCGACTTCGAGTTCGACAACGAGACAAACGTCCTAGTGGTGGCAGAAGTTCCAGAAATTGGTGCTGGTGCCAGAGGCTCGGGACTTGCGGAAGGATCGGACGTGCCTGCTGTAGATATCGGTTAATGCGGGGGTCGTCTGCAACCACGGTGAGTCCTTGACGTTGTCCAAGGCGAGTACAGGAACGGGGGTGGTGTGATGGTATAAGTAGCTCTGCTCGCGCCGGACCGCTTCTAGTTTTGCACTACTTATGTGCGCGCACGGATGCAGCAGCCCGCGGGAGCCCGGAGCCGGGGCATAGCGCTTCATTCTCGAATCTCAACGCTTCCGAATGCAGATGACGCGTAAATCGGGTGGGCGAGCCTCGGTCCCGGACGGGACGCGGAAATTACTCCAGAGTATGCTTCTAGCGCGCAATACGCGGAGCCGTCAAAGAAGGGGAGGAAGCACGACTCGGACGCGGACGGACTTAGCGGACTCCGGAGGGAAGCGGTCATCACTGTCGAACCGCCATTTGGCTGGTCTATGTCCAAGCTGCAACTTGAAGCCGCCAGAACCTGCATATCTGGACGAGCTAGCAGTCTTCGCGTCTAGAAGTACTGGTCGAGCGCCGATCCAGATCGTGAGCACTCTACATTCGGTCATTAGTGTTGTCCAAAGATACGATACGGAAAATATATTTTGAATATATCGTGTGAAACTTGAATAGAGCTAGCTTATTGCCAGCTAGCGGGGCGAGGCACGAGCCACCGCTAGCGTTAGATAAGCTAGCGTGGGGAGTGCTCGGCCAAAGCCGACACTGACATCATCTTTTAGCGGCTGACATCATTTCAGCGCTTGCTCGACACCACCATATTGTGTGGCTTCAAGACTTTTTTGCGCATTCCCTTCTCACTCTACCACTCTCTCCTGCCTTCCATTCTCTTCTCTTATGTCCTTCCTTCAAGCATACCAGCCTTTGTGGCTGGAATTCACCTCTAGGACGTGCTCTGACCTCAAGCATTGGTTAGGGCTTTCCCTTGGGTGGAGAACTATCTTTGGCTGTCCCTGGGCCTTCCCTGAGGGACAGGGTAGTTCCTGTCAACCTCCTTCCCATCAGGAAAAACCTCCCTGAGAAATTGTTTCAAATTTCATAAAATTTCCGTTGGCTAAGAAAATTTTTCCAAAATTTTACTAAATTTTATGAAATTGTCCAAAAAATCGGAAAATTGTCTAAAGTATACTTAGTACAGACACACCGGATTTGGTAAAATATCCCTTGAAGTAGAAACTGTGCTAGATTCTGGTAGAATCTAGAACCAAATCAACCTATGGAGATTTGCCCAAAATATACATTTTTGAAACTGAGAATGATTTTAGTCAAATATATACTAGTTTTAGGCAGTCTGAGATGAAAACTATCTATGGGACTGAAACTATGCCTGAAATGGTTGATATCTGTGCACATATATTTGGTCATGATATCACGCACATCAAATGTGGCGAAACTGACAGTGAAACAAAGGATTTCACTGACAGTTTCAGCACAGATGATACAAAGGAAATCAGCAGTGGAGAAATGCACATAGAAACAAAGAGAATCTATGTGCATTTCTCCACTGCTGAAACTGTAGATTTACAGTACAATGAAATCATTGTTGAAATCTCAAATTTATTCATGCCAGAAATTGTGATTAAAACTGCCAGTATATACATTGGAGAAATTGTAAGAGATATTATATGTATATCAGTGACTTGAGAGTCAACCCTCAAGTTAACCCTCAAGTCAACCCCAAGGGTCTGACCTCCGGTGTAAGGGCAACCCCGGAGGCCTGAGATCAAGGTCCTAGCAGGGGAGGATCCAAAGAGTGAATAGAAGTAAGCAAATACAAGTGAGGCTGACCTAGCAGGGGAGGATCCAAAGAGAAGAAACTCTAAGGGTCCGCCTGCTAGGTAGCGGAACTATATACTGCGCTCTTGACGCGCCAAGGTTGATCGTTGCTCCGTGCAGTATGCCTGCGCCATGTCGCAGGCCAGGTCCCAGGGGGATCGCCAGGGGGGGGCGGCGATGCGCCTGACGGAGGCGGTGATGCGATCACCGGAGTCGGAACCGGAGTCGGACCGGAATCGGGATCGTCTCCGAGGGGCCGAAAGGGAGGTTCCCCTGACATCACCCCCCTTTGAATGCGGCGTCCCGACGCATAGACCGGAACGGAATCGAGTCGAAGGTTGCGGAGGCGATGTGCCGTGGTTTGCCAGGGTACTTACGGTAGAACTCCGCGATTTTGTCCGGGGCGAAGACGCGGTCGAAGCGGACCCACTGGTCGTGCGACGCGTCGTAGCCTTTCCATCTGACGAAGTAATTCAGCCGTTTATACCTCACCCTTGCGTCCAAGATCTCCTCTACTTCCCACTCCGGGACTCCGTCCTCGAGGTCCGGAGGGGGCTGGTCGTAGCCGGGCGTCCGTCGAAGGGGTCGTCTTGGGCGAGCTCAAGCTTGACGACGGGGAAGACCGGGTGGAGCTTCGAGTAGCGCGGAGGGAGGTCGAGCTTGTAGGCACCTTTGCTGATCTCCGCGACTATCTTGAACGGACCGAGGCGGCGGTGGGAGAACTTCTCCGAGGGGCGAGTCGTCCTGATGTCAGAGGCATCCAGCCAAACACGGTCGCCAACCTTGAACTCCGGAGACGGAGTGCGTCTCCGGTCGTAGTAGCGCTTATACTCTTCCTTGGCCTTAGTGAGCGGCCTTGGCTTCGGCAACCCCAGTGGCAATTCGGTCGCGGAACTCGTTCACAGACTCCATAGCGGAACGGGCTCCGGGTTCAAAGCCCATGCGCGGAAGCCGTCCCGTGTCCGTCATGAAGGGGACTTGCTGCGTGGATGAGTGGACGTGGTTGTTGTAAGCGAACTCCGCGGCCGGAATCAGCTCATCCCAGTCGTCCTGCTGATAGTTGGTGAAGATCCGCAGGTACTGCTCCAACTCCTGGTTGACGCGCTCTGTCTGACCGTCCGTTTGCGGATGATACGCGGTGGACGTGGCTGGCTTGATGCCGATTAGACGCCAGAGTTCTCGGGTGAAGTCCGCGATGAACTGTGAGCCACGGTCGGAGACGTACTTCTCGGAGTCCCGTGATGGCGCCAGACATTCCGGTAGTAGAGGCGGGCTGCTCCTACTGCGTCGACCGTGGTATGGCACTCGGAGAAGTGGGCTCGCTTCCCAAGGGTGTCCACGACGACCATGATCGCGTCGTACCCATGGGCCTCGGGGAGCTCGACAATGAAGTCGACGGAGACGGTATGCCAGCGCTCCGGGGTGTTTCCGTCGGGTGTAGCTCTCCGTGGGGCAGTCTCCGGAGCGCCTTGGTGCGACAGCACAAGTCGCAGGTCGCGACGCACCGGCCGATATGGCGAGACATCTGAGGCCACCAGTAGTTCCGGGAGACCAACTCCAAGGTCTTGAAGCGACCGGCATGTCCGGCGACTCGAGTGTCATGGCAGAGCTCGATGATGCGCCTCCGGAGGTCCTTGTCCTTGGGCACGACAATCTTCCCACGGAAGTGGAGAAGACCACCGGAGACGGCCCACTCGTCGGAGCGTGAGGAGGGGGGCCTCGAGCTTGACCTTGGACCTTTAGGAGTTGCCGGGCCGCTAGTGCGATGGGCTTCTCCAGGTCAGGCTCACCGGAGAGGGCATCGCGAATGTCGCGAAGAAGTTCGGAACCGGGACCGGAAACGGAAACACCCTCGAGTGCGCGGACGTGGAAGAGTTCGGGCCGCAGAAGGACGACGTCGGAGTTGTCGGAATCGATTCCGTGGTCGGGTCTCCGAGAGAGGGCGTCAGGTCGGCCCATGTCGCGACCGGGCTTGTGGTGCAGCGTGAAGTCGAACCGGGAGAGGTAGAGGGACCAGCGGGCCTGTCTCCGGTTGAGGTGCTGCGTCTTCCTGAAGTACTCCAAATTCTTATGGTCAGTCCAAATCTCGACGGGATGCGCGGCACCCTCGAGGAAGTGTCTATACTCCTCGAGTGCGCGGATGATCATGAGCATCTCCTTGTCGTGGATTTCGTAGTTGCGCTGGACATCATTTAAGCTTTTGGAATAGAATGCTACAGGGTGCCACTTCCCGTCCGGGGCGGATTGTGAAAGAACCGCCCCGTCGCATAATCAGAGCTGTCCGCCTCGAGTCGGAAAGGCCGTGCGTCGTCCGGAATCGCCAGGACCGGTTCCGAGGTGACCGCGTCCTTGATCGCTTGGAACGCGGAGGCCTCCGCGTCGCCCCAAGTCCATTGCTGGTCCTTCTTGGTGAGCGCAAAGAGAGGACGCGAGGGCCGAGAAGTCGCGAATGAACCTGCGGTAGAAATTAGCGAACCCAAGGAACTGCTGAACATCCTTCTTGTTTTCCGGAGTCGGCCAGGCGGAGACGCCTGCGACCTTGA